CGGTGGCCGGGAGTGGCCACTGCACTCCAGTCTGGGCGACAGAATGAGACTCCAACTCAAAAAAAACAAAAGATGGGCATAGATGGTCTCTTCCAGGAAGCCTTCAGTAATTGAAGTCTCTATGCTCTTCACCTTCAGCCTCCCCAGCACTCACAGACTAATCTGCCCATCACAGCACTTATTAGCCTATACTGTAAGTATCTGTGTTCTTGTCTGTCTCTCCTATCAGCCTGTGGATTTCTGGAAGGCAGGAGCTGTCTTCTTGTAATCTTAGTTCATAGCACCTAGTATATTGGATTTTTATTAAAAATATGGGCCAGGAACGGTGGCTCAAGCCTGTAATCCCAGCACTTTGGGAGGCCAAAGTAAGAGGACTGCCTGAGCCCACGGGTTTGAGAACAGCCTGAGCAATTTGTCGAGATCTCATCTCTACAATAAGTCCAAAAAATTAGCCAGGCATGTTAGCGCACACCTGTAGTTCCTGCTACTTGGAAGGCTGAGGTGGAAGGTCCGCCTGAGCCCAGCAGGTTGACATGGCACTGGGGTGGCTGTGAGCATGCCACTGCAATCCAGCCTGGGCAATGGAGTGGGACTCCAACTCAAAAAAATAAAAATAAAAATGAAAAAATAAAAATATAAAAGAATGAATAAATGCTTGTGTGGTCTTTCTCTCCAGTTAGATTGCAAGCTCTAAGAGAGCCAGGGCTGTCTTTTCTCCACTTGCTTCTGATGTATTTCCCATTTTAGGATCCTGTTATGGGCTGAATTATGCCCCTTCCCCCACCCAAAATTCCTCTTTTGAAGCCCCAACACCCAGTGCCTCCAAATATGACCGTATTAGGAGATAAGGCCTTTAGAAAGGTGATTCATTTACAATGAGACCATTAGGGTGAGCCCTCATCCAACCTAAGTGTCTTCACAAGAAGAGGAGATTAGAACACCAGAGAGATGCAAGGGATATATATACACAAGCAGAGGAGAGGCCATCTGGGACACAGCAAATAGGTGGCCATCCAAAAGCCAAGGAGAGGTGCCTCAGGAGAAGCCAACCTGCCTGCACCTTGACCTTGAACTTCCAGCCTCCAGAAGTGTAAGACAATAGTTTCTGCTGTGTAAGGCCCCCAGGCTGTGGCGTTTCGTTAAGGCAATTCTAGCAAACTTATACGGGCCTTATGTCCCACCCAAACACAGGCCCATTCTGGGTATCCTGTGACCAACCTGACACCGTCATGGAGCCAGGAGAAGTTCTCCAGGTGGCCCAGGTGCTGACCATCCACCCACACTGCCAGCTCACAGGATGAGTGAGCCCTACCAGGAATGGTGTTATCCAAGAGAAAGCCCAGACATCCGCCAACAAACATGCCCGTGGTCAGCAGCACCTGAGTGATCTGGTCCAGCTGGACAATCCCTAGAATGGAGACAGAAGTGACAAGCTCACAGGGACCAGGGGAGCTCCTGGCTCTGCCCCTGGAGTGGCAACAATCTGGAAGGCAGAGACAGTTACCTGTCTGGAGCTTCTCAGGGTTCTTGTTCACCCAGCTTGGGATGGTGAGCCCACCGTAGATGGAGAAGCCAAAGACAAAGAGGTTCCGGGATGAGTTCATGTCCACGTACTGTGGGAGAAAGGCCAAAGGCACAGGGCCATCGCATCTCTACTGCACAGCAGGGCGAGTGCTGTCTCCAGAGGTCCTGACACTTCCAGCTATTCCTTGCTTCCATCTGGGGGCCTGTTGGCTTCTGAGCCTGAGATTCCCTCTTCTCCTCCCCAGCCCCAGCCCTACCCCATTCACCTCAGTCTGGTGGGCCCTCTTGAGAGGAGAGGCAGCTGCTTCTCCCAGGGCGCCTGCTGGCCTCACCTGAAGATTGGAGATCCCCACAGCAGTGATGATGCCGAACATGACCAGGAACATGCCTCCAATCACAGGGTTTGGGATGGTGGCAAATGCAGCCCCAACCTTCCCGAGCACGCCCATCAGGAGCAGCACACAGCCTGCAGCGACAGTCACCATCCTGCTCCCCACCTGCAGCACCCAGGGAGATGGGAACAAGAAGTCCCAGCTAGTCCAGGTGACTGGAGGCCTCTGTCCTGCTCCCAGGGCACTTTGATATCATTGTCAGGTCCTGCAGGGGCAGTGCCACCTGATTTGTCCCCCACCTCTCCACTCTGCTGCTCCCATGCCTGCCTTCAAGTCCTATCTCAAATGCTCCTCCCTTGAGTAGCCTGGACAGCAGGCAAGAAAGCCCAACACTTCAGAGTGGGGCTGGGGAGTTGATCCTAGCTGCACCTCTAACCAGCTGGGTGACTCTGGGCACATGACCTAACCTCTCGGAAAGTCAGCCTCCACACTGCCACATGGAACCTGTAATACCTACAGTAAGTCCCCTACATACAAACAAGTTCTGTTTCAAGAGCCCATTTATACATCCAATCTGTTCATAAGTTCAGCAATGTCAGCCTCAGCACCCAACTAACACAATTAGTTATACAGTACTACACTGAAATAGGCTTATAATACTTTTCACACAAATAACACATTGAAAAACAAACATACAATACTGTTCAGTAACGTACACAAAAGCATAATCACTTGTAGAGGATTCACGCACATGATGATGTACGTCCGACACATGAACTAACTTACATGATTGGACATGCAAACACACAGTCACAACTTTACAGTTCATAACTTGAAGGTTTGTATGTAGGGGACTTACTGTATTTCTCAAGGTCAAATCAGATAATACAGGTGAAGGGACCCATAGCAATAGTAAGCATTAACCATGGTAGGCACTTGAAAAAGAGTAAAGAGTCTTTGCAAGGGACAACTGTATGGTTCTGCCAGCGAGATGCTGCATCTCCGCGTGTGGCTTGTACTGTTGTCTACCAGATCACATGTGCCCCAAGACAGGAGTCTCACTGATTTCATGTTCTGCAGCCACTCCTCACCCAGGGTGTACTGTGGTTAACTTATCCCAAGAGGCCAGGCAGGAAGGAAACCTGGAGCATGCCTTTTTCAAATCTCTCATTTTGCAGAAACCCAAAGAAGAGAGAAGGAGCCTAAAGCCACAGGTGGCCACACTCCCAGGTCTCCTATGTCCAGTCTCACAGTCAATCCCCTGGGGTTTGTAAACAGCACTGTGAGCTCACAAACACATGGATGTTCGGTTCATACCATAACATTTTCAATTTCCTTGTTGCTGTTTTGTAAGTGGAACCTCGAATTTTAGTAAGAGGAGACAGATACCATGTAGGGAAGCTTATAAAGAAAGAAGATAATCTCTAGCAGCAATATGTACTCTGAAGACAGTAACAAAGTCACAGGGTCAGGGTGACTGGGTAGGAAGACAGTCAAGAAAGGTCCGTCCAGGAGGCCAGAGTTCAGCCAAGACCCAAGGGAAAAGAAGAAGTCACAAACATTGAAGGTTTGGTAGAGACGCATTCTAGAGAAGAAACAGCAAATGCACTCTGTGGCGGGAGGAGCCTGGTGGTTGCAAAAAGAACTTCAGTGTGCCCGGGCGCAGTGACACAGAGAGAGGAGTAGAAGACGGAACATCCTGTGAGATCTTGGGGACCATAGAAAGGAGTTGGAATAAAATCCAAAGGCAAGGCATAAGTAAAGCATGGCATGTTCATTCCATGGAATATTACTCAGCCTTAAAAAGGAAAGGAAATCCTGGACACATGCTACAACATGAGTGAGCCATGAAGACATGATGCCAGGTGAAATGAGCCAATCATAAAAGGACAAATACCATTATGATTTCACTTATACCAGGTACCTGGAGTTGTCAAACTTATAGAGACAGAAAGCAAAATAGTGGGTGCCAGGAGCTGGGGAAGGAAGGAAAGGGGAGTTGCTGTTTAATGGGGACAGAGTTTCAGTTTTGCAAGATGAGAGAGTTCAGAAAACACATGGTGCTGATGTGTACACAATAGTGTAAACGTACTTAACACTACAGAACTGTACACTTGGAAATGGTTAAAATGGTGAATTTTGTGTTATATGTATTAAAAATAAAAAAAAAAATCCAAAGACAAGAGAAACCCTCAGTAGGTGGCTTTTAAGCAGAGTGGCAACACAAGTGGTTTACACCTCAAAATTCAGGTCATTATTATCCATCTGTTTTATGATTTAGGACAATGATAGATTTTCTCAATAAGCAAACAGTATGGAATGTTATATGAGAGGGGACCCAAAAAAACTGAATTATTTTTTGGAGGGCATGCCCCTTGTAGTACAGGCTTCCTCTGCTAGGTAAGTGTTCTAGGAACCCATCAGCATCAGTGGACCACCTGGTTCTGTTGTGAGAGGTTGTGTTCAACTTCAGTTAATTTTTTTTTTTTTGAGATTTTTTTCACCGTGTTTGCCCATTTTATGATGGGTGATTTACGAGCACACCTGCCCACATCACACTGAGTGAGCAGCATTTTTTGACCAAAAACAACATGACCCCATGTCCCACCCTCCATATTCACCCAATCTCACCCCAGTAATTGTTTTGTTTGTTTGTTTCCCCAGATTAAAAAAAAAAAAAAGTCCTCAAAGGGAAATGTTTTACCGATGTGGAAGAGGCGAAACAAAAGATGGCAGAAGCACTAAAAGACATCAAAATTGGGGTTCAAAAACTGTTTTGAGCAATGGAAAAGTTGTCTCAATGGGTGTATTGCATCAAACAGAGAGTACTTTGAAAGTGACTGAAGTTTAAATATGTAAGTATAAATACATGGGCCAGGCATGATGGATCAGTCTGTAATCCCAGCACTTTGGGAGACCAAGGCAAGAGGATTGCCTAAGCCTGGGGGTTCAAGACCAGCCTGGGCAACTTGAGCAATTTATCGTCTCTACAATAAACCACGCGCCTGTAATTCCAGCTACTTGGAAGTCTGAGATGGAAGGATTGTCTAAGCCCAGCAGGTCGAGGCTGCAGCAGCCATGAGTATGCCACTGCTCTCTAGCCTGAGTGACAGAGACTCCAACTCAAAAAAAAAAAAAGAATGTACAAATCCTCACAAATAAATTCCAGAATTTTGGGGTCCCCCTTGTAAACCATTTATCTTCCATCTATATGGGGGTTCACTTAGCATATAAAACTAAAATGAATACCCTTCTCCTGGTATTGTACAGCAGTAATTGTTCCTATTCAGAATCTTAAAAGTGGGTTTTCCTAAAATTCATTTCTTTTTTTTTTTGAATTGGAGTCTCACTCCATCGCCCATGCTGGAGTGTAGTGACACACTCACGGCCACCCCAGTGTCAACCTGCTGGGCTCCAGTGATCCTTCCGTCTCAGCCTTCCAAGTAGCCGAAACTACAGGCACGTGCTACCATGCCCAGATAATTTTTTTTTAATTTATTGTAGAGACAAGGTCTCACCAAGCTGCCCGGGCTGGTCTCAAACCTGCAGACTCAGGGAATCCACTTGCCTCAGTCTCCCAAAGTGCTGAGATTGCAGGCTGAGCCACCGAGCCTGGCCCCAGGTTCATTTCTACAGAGGATCAATGTTGCTCTGCAACCTGCAGCTTCAGAACTAACTAAAAAATTATGATCTGATTGGAGTCACTACTAACTACCATCACCTGGTTTTCATAGGGTTTTTTGAGTGGCTAGAAGTTTTGGAATGCCAAGGAAGTACACAGTTCATAGCTGGGGTTTAGGTGACAACTACTACCAGTGAGGAAAAAATGTCCTCTAAATTTTTAGGATAATGTGAACCCTAATGTAAACTATGGACTCTGGGTGATAGCGTTGCATCAGTATAGGTTATCAGCTAAAACAAATGTCCCACTCTGTTGAAGGGTGCTGATCATGGGAGTGGGGGCCATGCAAATGTGGCAGCAACCTGTGTATGAAAAATTTCTTGACCTTTCTCCCAATTCTTCTGTGAACTCAAAACTGCTCTAAAAATGTAGTTTTTAAAAATGACCCCGACCTTGAGACATTAAGTATCATTCTCAAAAGTTAGAGCTGTGCTACAAATGTTCTTGTCTTAAAATCTCATAATGGGCTAGGCTAGGTGGCTTAGCCTGTAATCCCAGCACTTTGGGAGGCCAAGGCAAGTGGATTGCCTGAGCCCACAGGTTCAAGACTCGCCCAGGTAACTTGGCGAGACCTCGTCTCTACAATAAATAAAAAATTAGCCGGAGGTGGTAGTGCACCTGTAGTTCCGGATAGTTGGAAGGCTGAGGCAGAATGACTGCCAGAGCCCAGCAGGTCGAGGCTGTGGTGGTCGGGAATGGCCACTGCACTCCAGTCTGGGCGACAGAGTGAGACTCCAACTCAAAAAAAAAAAAAAAAAATCTCATAATGAGTTTTTTTGTCAATGGATAATTTAGATAGTCGTTGAATCTGTTTCACATCCATGTGTGTCTATTTCCAGACCTTAAAAGGTACCCTTATGTAGCTTCTGTTTTGTGAGATGAAAAAGTTCTGGAGATCTGTAGTACAGCAATGTGAATATACCTAATACTACTGCACTCTACACTTTAAAATGGTTGTAGTGGTAAATTTTATATTATATGTCTCTTTTACCACAGTTAAAATTTTTTAAAGATAATACGATAATGTTAATTGAAGTCCATTAATGCAGGAATAAAGTAGCAAAATCTGCCTTGGCTTATTTTTATCCTTCCAGTCTAAGAGCTTATGTATTTAACTGCATTCATTAGAAATTCTTACCACATCAAAAGAGCCCTTTTGTTTTGCTTACAACCCTAATGATTAACTGTGAGAACAAAGGCAGAACTACAAGCACAATAGATTAATGTGTTTGGTTCAGCCAATGCCCTTTGAATATACACTGATGATCTCATAAAGATGGCACTCATCCGCCACATGCATTTATCATACAACTCTGGCCCTCTTTTGGCCTCAGGACTGGCATCTGGTCTGGGAGCTATGATGCTCTACAGAAGTGACAGGAGATCTCTGACCTCGGCCTAGTTCCCTTCCACACATGGGCAGAACCAAGAAGTGGTCCGAGTTCATCACTGCACAGATGCAGCGTGAAGCAAAACCTTCAAGGGCCACAAGGGGGTAGTGTGAGCTCATAAAGCTAGTGGTCTTTGCCCCCGCCCCCCCATCCCTTTCAGGGTGGATCTATGTTTCCTACTATTGCCTGCCTGTCCATGAACCTTTCTTTCCTGCTCCTCTCCTCTCTCTAAAGAGTCTTAATTTAGAAATGATACATCAAAACATTTTTTGTTTGCTTATTGAGTATAATGTTCTGTTCTGCATGAAACTTGTTCTCTTTCACAGGAAAAAAGTTATCTGCTGCCTTAGACTTAGGTGGCTCCCCTGCTACATTCCAGCTGGGTCAGAGGCCCTCCTGTGGAAAATGTTCCCCTCGTCTGCACTAAAGGCTTTGAGACCTTGGGCAAGTATCACAGAGTCCACAGCACCCCAGAACACAGGATTTGCTGATAGTGATGGCTCAGCTATCTGCTCACAGATTTTCATTCCAGCTGCATGCCAGAGGTTCTGCAGGGGACAGAGGAGGACAGATCTGGTTCTGGGGAGAAGCGAAGCCACCAGGTGTCATATCAGAACCCCTGAGGCAGCCATAAGAAGATGCAAGGTGGGGCCTGTGTATGGGGAAGGATTCGTATTTTTCCAAAGCTCACGTGACTTGTGCTGGGTGCTGCAAGATACACTGAAAAGTGGAAAATGATATTATTCAATATTGTTCTTTCTAAGTCATCTTAGAAGTCCCATACTGAAGAATTCCTGCTGACCTTACAGAGCTTTTCTGTGGAAAATGGGGAGCCATGAAGAGATTTTTTAAGCCGAGACTATCCAGTCAGAATTGAGTTCTAGAAAGATCCTTGGGCAGATTAGCCATAGAGTGTGTGGGACACTGCAGCTTCCAGGCAAGAGCCAATAAAACCAGACCCTGGGAATGGAGAAGAGAGGACAGGAAGAGCGGCAGGAGTGTTGAGGACAGGATCCGCTGGTGAGGGCAGGAGCCCCATGCCAGAGGCTGCAGCTGGCACAGGTGACCCATGAAAACAAGGACTGTCGGGACCAGGTCAGGATGGGGCAAGAGCTGAGGTTCGCAACAACTGCAGAGTGCAAGGTGCCCTTGGGGTGCCTGTGGGGCTGGCCAGGCAGTGAATGTTCAGGTTTGGAGCTCCAACATGACAGGGCAGTGTGGGAGGCAGTGGGCCTCCTCAGAAGGCAAGAACTCTCTTGCAAAGCCATTGATATCTGCCAGCACCGGCACAAAACTTCTGCCTGTAGAACTGCCACAACCAAAGGAGTCAAGTGTAGAAGGCAGAGTCACGGCCCCTCAGAGAGGCTACATCCCACTTCTCCAACCTTGTGGATATGCTACCTTGCATAGCAAAAGGGACTTCACAAAAGTGATGAAGGACCCTGGGCTGCAGAGAGAATCCTGGATTATCCAGGTGGGCCCATCCAATTACATGAATCCTTCTAAGCTGAGAACCCCTCCCGGCCATGGGCAGAGGGAGAAGCAGCTACAGAAGAATAGCCAGAGGGAGGCAGTGTTGCTGATGTTGACAAAGGAGAAGGAAGCCATGAGCTCAGAAGGGACCATGGCAGCCTACAGAAGCTAGAAAGGGCAAGGAAATAGACTCTCCCTTAAGCCTCCAGGAAGAGACACAGATCTGCCAACACCTTGGTGTTGGCCCCAAAAGACCCCCATCTGACTTTTGACCTCCAGATTAGTAAGGTAACAAACTTGGATAGTTTGAAGCCACTAAGTTTGTGATAAATGGTTACAGCAGTGATAGGAACACATGGGGTAGCAGATCCAGGCACCCAGCCTGTGTCTGGGCGCCACCATCAGCCGCCTTACCCTAGTGATGCCCAGAGCCCCGACATTCTCGCTGTAGGAGGTGATGCCGCTTGCTGTCCCCCAGGCTCCTGCCAGCAAGCAGCCAAAGCCCTCGATGCTGATGCCACGGTTGACAGCCTGTTTCGGAGGGGGCGGGGCCCCAACCAGTCGAGCACAGGCATAATAATCGCCTAGCGACTCCAACACCGAGGAGATCACCCCTGCGATGATCCCAAAGACCCCAGCCAGGCTGACGGTAGGGAGGCCCCACTGTCCTGGAATGCAAGGCAGAGGGAGCCATCATTCAGAAGATGAGAAGCTGCTGATGCCCAAATAATTGATCTGCCAGAGGGATCCTGGGTAGTGTGTCTTCCAGCCTCCTAATTGCCCAGGGGTTTTGGTTTGGCTACCCTTCCTCCCTGAGGGTAGATCAGATGCCCAAGACTTGAATTCTCTGTGCACAAAAGGAGTCAGCAATAAGTCCTCTTCCTAGGAGGGCCTCTGAGCTTTTGGGAGCAGAGATTCTTACTCAGGGAAGCCCTAGGTTTGCAGCGCACGAGGCTAGGCTGCCCCTCCCTGAAACCTGGTCACTTGGAACCTGGTCACCTGGAACCGCCTGAATCAGCAACAGTGGGAAAGAAAGATCCGAAGTGGCCCAAGGGATGCCTTTGTGTGAGACCCACTGAGTCCAGAAGGAGACCAAAAGGTCTGGCTGGGCAATGAGGGGCTCTCTCATCTTGCTCCCAGAGAATGGGTTTTGAGCAGCCAGCTCTGGGGCAGGACTGACAGCAGCAGAAGCCTCTGGCCTAGCAACCCCAGGGGATTCTTAGGACCTTCTCTTAGGAGTCTGACATGGACTCCCTGGAGCCCTTCCCATCAGTCCCTCAGAAGAGACCCTTCCCAGCCCTATTGCATTCTCCATCCAAAGCCTCAGCCCTATGGGCAGTCGCAGAAAATGTGTCCCAAGCAAGATGGTCACCCCTTTCATTACCTGGGTAAGGAAAGCGAAACCAAGGGGACTGGCTCAGGACACTCTTTTTGTTGTCGGTGCGGGCCAGGTATCCGTAGGCCATAGGGTCCGTGGGGAGGGCGTTGGTGATGGTCAGCAGGAAGCAGACAAGCCAGGAGAAACAGAGGGCCAGCAGCACCTGTAGGGGAGCACTTCACCAGGTTGCCTGCCCAACCCACCCCACCCCATCCCAGCTTCACCCACCCCACCCGGGGATGGGCAAAACTGGGGCTCAGGAAAGCTTTGAAATGGGGCAGCATGGGTTCCTGACCCTCCAGTGACAACAGCAATCTGGTATGCCAGTGGGTAAATTAGCACATTAAAGGGACAGGCTACAAACAGTGGGGAGACTTTGTGTCACACCAGGACAGAAATGCCCAGTAACTTGGGCACAGCCTGGGTCAGAAGGATAATGATCTGGCCCTCTCTCACTGTTTGCTGACCACATGACCCTGAAGCAGACTCCCTCCATTTCCTCATCTGTGTAACAGAATTATAATCAGTGCTCTGCAGAGCCTGAAAACAGGACTTTTTTTTTTGAGTTGGAGTCTCACCCTGTCACCCAGGTTGGAGTGCAGTGGCACACTCACGGCCATCCCAGCATCTGGCGTCGACCTGCTGGGCTCCAGCAATCCCTCTGCCTCAGTCTTCCATGTAGCCAGAACTACAGGCGTGCATGATCATGCCCAGCTAATTTTTTTATTTTATTTTAGAGACAAGGTCTTGTCAAGTTGCCCAGGCTAGTCTCGAACCAGCAGGCTCAGGCAACCCACTCCCCTCGGCCTCCCAAAGTGCGGGGATTACAGGCTGAGCCACCAAGCCCTGCCTGAAAAAAACAGGACTTCTTAAATGAGGTCTGCAGGCACTTGGCTTTTAACTCCTTGGTGGTGGTGACCCCAGAAATCTGTACTTGAGAACATTCCTAAATGATTCTGAACACACTGAATTTTAGTCATCAGCCTGCAGATGGTTGAAGGAAAAGTGGTGTCATCATATGGGCACATCTTACTTGAGAAGAGGTGTATGGTTAGGTCAAGCCTGAAGCACACATACATTGCTGACCACTACACACACTCGGCAAGATGGAGAGAGCTCACCAGGCTCTGAAAAGGGAGCACCGTCATCCTCATGGGCCATTCGTGTCACCCGTGGGCCACTGAGTAGAGCATCTTGGCTGCACCTCGGCTCCACAGGTCTTTGGTTTTATGTAATTAGATGAGAACCTGACTACCTCTGCCAGCATCTTGCTGCAAGAATGGCTGGAGGACACAGAAAGGCTGTGCCACGCTCATGCCCAAGCAGCAGCCTAGGGCGGGAAGCATCAAGGAATGACCTCACCAACAGCCATGGCTGCTCCCCATGCCGCAGGCCTCATCCCGGCCTCCTTCTCCTGTGGATAAAGGGAGGCCAAGGAGAAGAGTTCCCTTCAGACAGGGAAGCATTTGATCTGGGTATGGCCATGGAGAGGATTCCTGGAACCCTACAAGTGAGTCCACTAAGAATGGAAGAGGGTGGGGCTACTTCTTACAGGGAAGACCTGGAACAAGTAGAATTTGGAAGTGTGGCGCTTCTTCTCTCCTCCATAGGTGGGCACGGGCACTGCAATGTTTTTCAGGTACTGAGAAAACAGCACGATGAGGAACATGGTCCTGAAACAAACAACCACACACAACTTGGCAAGCTGGCACTGGTCGTCAAAGTGTCACGCGAGAATTGGGGGTGACCCAGGAAGCCGAGTTGCCATGCATCTCTGGGATCAGTATTGTTGCTGGGGTTCCCACCCAGGCCCTCGCTGTAGCACAGGTGGAGTCCTGCCATCTCTAAAAAGGGAGCTGTTCTCTTTGGAAACTGCTGTGGCTAAGAGGAATCATGGGCAAGGACACTCCTATTTCTGGGGTGGCCTAAGGGCAGTGCACCACTGGCCACTGGGCAGATCCAGCAAGGAAAACCAGTGTCAAGAGAATCAGGAACATCTTATCTTCCAGCCCCTCCTCTCAGATCGCGGTGGCAGAGTGAATGAGAGAGTCCGGCCTCTTCCCCAGGCCTCCTCAAAGCTCAGTTTCCATGCCTGAAGCCTCTTCCCATGAAGCCTTCCTGGTCCTCCCAGGGGTGTCCTCACCCACGCACAGCTCCCTGTGACTCGCATCATTGTCTCCTGGTATCATAGGCACGCAGATCTAAGATTTGTCTCTCTGTTATACTGTGACATGTTTGGGAGCAGGGTTGCATCTTTGCACCTTCTCAGGTGCCAGGAGTTTACAAACATTTGCTCAACGAGAACCCAGCTGACAGGGGCCAGCAGGATCAACCCTTTGTGAACACTGAGTATCCTTATACAGTCCTTGTAACTGACTGTCTGTGGGTACGAGTAAGATAATAACAATTAGCAGCAAAATGAATTATAAGTAGCAACTGTGATGTTCCTTAAAGTATGATAATGTTTCTGAAAGTCTTTGTAAACGACAGGAGTTGGCCAACATCCAGGTAAGTCATCCACTAAAGAAAACTTACATGGCACTCCCTTCCAGGGAATACTCACATGGCAGAAATCCCCCAATGAATTCCGGCACTGTCACCCACAAGGTTGAAGAGAGGCAGGGCCACCAGGGAGATGGCAGGAGCTATGGTCAAGGGGCCGATGAAGCGCAGGAGAAAGCCAATGAGGCCTGAGAAGCCCACCAGCATCTGGACACAGGAAGCAACCATGATGGCGCCCTGCAACTGAGGGGGAGAGGGGCCAGCATCTCAGAGCTCGAGCAGGACTGTGAATCTCACCCAGCCCAGGCCATCCTAACAGGCCATGATGCCACAGCCCACGGCTAAACCTGGTCACCCTTGGTAGGTTGTCCCAAGGCAGTAAAGGGCAAAGCTGAATCCCAAAGCACAGTTCCTCTCACTCTTTTCTTCGATCTATATGTCGAACTGCTTGGTGGACCTTCTCACTTAATACTAAGCTTTTCAGGAAATAGGCTCCAAAATGACTTATTGATCATAGTCACGATGGTGACTCATAACACAGCACACCCAGCAGTATACTAAACATCTTGCCGCCGTATTTGTCTGGACTCCTACTTTCTATTGCAGGGGCCAGCAAACTTTTTCTGAGAGCAAATATTTTAGGCTTTCTGGCCATACAGGATCTGTTGCAACTTTCCTAGAGAAGATGTGAACACATGAGAGTAGCTTTATTCCAATAAAACTACATTTATAAACACTGACCTCTGAATTTCATATAACTGTGACATGGCATGAAAGACTGTTCTTTTGATTTCTTCTTACCATTTAAAATACAAAACCATGCTGAGCTCTTGGGCTACAGGACAGACCTGGCTCTTGGGCTGTAATTTGCCAACTTCTGATCCACTGGATTGTGTTTGCTTTCTTTGCCCCTTTTTACTTTACTAGTTTGGATGTTATACCATTTATTCTATTCTTTTAGAAGTTACTCTTAATGTTTTTAAATTTTTATTTTATTTTATTTTAGAGTAGTGGGGTACCTGTGAGGATTTACTACATAAGCAAACTGTGTGTAGGTGAGGTCTGGACCTCTAGTGGGCCCTCTCTTCCTAATAGTGAACCTGATACCCAATGTGTTGTTATGTGCTCTTTATCCCTCCTCCTTCCCTCCCTCCCTAGCAGTGTCCAGTATCTGTTGTTACTCTTAACTTTTAAATGGGAATACTTTACTTAACAAAGTCTATGGTTAAATAAAATGTCTAGTCTCCTGTCAAGCAGCACAGTGTCCTTAGAAAACTAACTTCTAGCCGGGCTTGGTGGCTCAGCCTGTAATCCCGCGCTTTGGGAGGCTGAGATGAGTGGATTGCCTGAGCCCGCGGGTTCAAGACCTGCCTGGGCAACTTGGCAAGACCTCATCTCTACAATAAATCAAAAAATTAGCTGGGCGTGGTAGCGCACGCCTGTAGTTCCAGCTACTTGGAAGGCTGAGGCGGAAGGATTGCCAGAGCCCAGCAAGTCGAGGCTGTGGTGTCTGGGAGTGGCCACTGCACTCCAGTCTGGGCGACAGAGTGAGACTCCAACTTAAAAAAAAAAAAAAAAAAGAAAACTAACTTCTACCACAATCCTGCTATTGTTGTCAAATGTTTATTTCCTACTGCCCTTTGTCATTATAGCATTTTTAATATATATTTTCCTGCAATCAATGCTTATTTAGATTTACCTAATGCTATGAAGTAAATGTTTGTGTTCCCTCAAAATTCATATGCTGAAAGTACATGAGCCTTTGGGAAGAAATTAGGTTTAGATGAGGTCATGAGGCTTGTGCCCTTATGAAAGGAGGGAAAGATCTCTCCTCCCTACCCTCCCCCCATGCACCAAGGAAACCTGTGAGAAAATGGCTAGAAGGCAGCCATCTGCAAGCCAGGAAGAGGGCCCTCAGTAGAATCTGACCATGCTGGCGCCCTGATCTCAGATTCCCAATCTCCAGAACTGTAAAGCGCACACACACACACACACACACACACACACACACACACACACACACACACATACACATATTTAAGCCACCTGATCTATGGTTTTTGTTGTTGTTGTTATTTTTTTTTGTTTGTTTTTGTTTTTTGTAGAGACAGTCTCCTATGTTGCCCAGGCTGGTCTCGAACTCCTGGCCTCCATAGTATTTTGTTTTGGCAACCCAAGCTATGACACCTATGGTTTTACCCATACATTCCTCTGTTCACTATAGCTTCTTTTCTACCACTCATTCATTCAAGATTCCATTTTCTTTTTCCTGAAGTTTATCTTTTAGTAATTATTGTTCAGGATCCCAGGTGACCATTAAAACCCAAACTCTCAGTCTTTGGTCTTATATCTGGGTCTGACTCTTTAACCAACCATCATAAGTCCATGATTCTGACTATAAATTCCATCTTTGTTTCCAGAAAGTAGGGTTTTCCCTTGGTTTTGGGCTTAAGTATGCAGAAAAAATATAGTTAATCTAGTATTTTCATGTGTTGGCAATGTGAATAAGGCCTCTGTTAGCTCAAAATACCATGACCCTAGAGGGCAAAGTTTTATTGTTGTTGTTGTTTTCGGTTGGGGTCTCACTCTGTAGCCCAGGCTGGAGTGCAGTCACAATTGACCTAATGTGTTAAACACAGAACTTGCCATCTCTTTTCTTCAAAACATAATCATTGTTCACTTTTCCCTCTCCATTATTTCTTGTATCTCATTGAGTAATAACATTCCTCTTGGTCCTATATTCACATCACTTTCACCTGTGGCTAGTCCTGTGGTGTATGGCTGGCATGCTCACCATCAGTGGTTTCAAGACTTGAGATGTGTCTGAGTAAATATAATTCAGTGAAACATGGAGAAGTTGCTTTCCATCCCAACAGGCTGACTCAGTGAATTAAATCAATCAGTCAATAAAGTAAGTTTGAGATTTGCCAGAACTTTCTCTTATTTACAGCACTGGTGAAAAACACTGATCCAGCAGAGGGAGCTAAAATACTGCAGCCGAGACTCTGTGCCTGTGCCTCCTTGTATTAATGGACACTTGGCGACAGTGTGGGGAACAGTGGTGGCGATGACTGCCAGGGCCCTGTGTTTCTAAGGAGGGGTCAGCAAACTTTTTCTGTAAAAGGCCAGACAGTAAATATTTTAGATTGTGTGGGCCATATGTGGTTTCTGATGCACACTCTTTTTTTAAAAAAACAACTTTTTGAAAATGTATAAACCAGCCGGGCTCGGTGGCTCAGCCTGTAATCCCGCGCCTTTGGGAGGCTGAGGTGAGTGGATTGCCTGAGCCCGCGGGTTCGAGATCCGCCTAGGCAGCGAGACCTCATCTCTACGATAAATCAAAAAATCAGCCGGGCGTGGTAGCGTATGCCTGTAATTCCAGTTATTTGGAAGGCTGAGGCAGAAGGATCACTGGAGCCCAGCAGGTTGAGGCTGCGGTGGCCGGGAGCGGCCACTGCACTCCAGTCTGGGTGACAGAGTGAGACTCCAACTCAAAAAAAAATAGAAAATGTAAAAACCATTCTAAGTTCAAGGGCAGTAAAAAAGAAAAAAAAAAAAAAAACAGGCCACAGACTGGATTTGGTCCAAGAGCCATAGTTTGCAGACACCTGGTTTAGAGGATGCTATATATCACAAGCACAACATGAACAGAAAGTGTATTTTAAACAGATGAATGCCTCTGTCACTCAAGATCCAGTGCTCAGTGCAGGCACAGAATGACCCAAATCTCCAGACATCCACTCTCAGCTCTAATACTGTTCAAACCCCAGGAACATCTCATCTCATCATTATTGCCAGTGTCTTCAAAACACAAGGCAACTGCTTCTGAATGCAATGAACGTTTGTGAGTTGTGCCACTGCAGTGGTAGAGGCAGATGCTGCATTAGAACACGGAAAGGATTGGGTAGCAGAAGGGCTTAGGTAGGAGTAAAGGCAAATTAATGTGTCAGATCTTACTTCTCGGACAGTACAAAGGCAACAGATTCTTGCCTAAGGAATTATGTTTTCAGTAAGGCTGAGTATAGGGAAACCCTGTCCAGTATCTAGCAGAGCAGATGCTTAGTTTTCATTTGAATTTACCAAAGCTGGCTGGGCACGGTGGCTCATGCCTGTAATCCCAGTACTTTGGGAGGCCGAGGTGAGAGGATTGCCTGAGCCCAGGAGTTCAAGACCAGCCTCGACAACTTGGCAAGACCTCATCTATACAGTAAATTAAAAAAAAAATTAGCCGGACGTGGTGGTACGTGCCTGTAGTTCCAGCTACTTGGAAGGCTGAGGCAGAAGGGTCGCTGGAGCCCAGCAGGTAGAGGCTGTGGTGGCCGTTAGTGTGCCACTGCACTCCAGCCTGGGTGACAGAGTGAGACTTCAACTCAAAACAAAAAAAAAGAATCTACCAAAACCAAGAGCAGCCTCCCTGGGAACAGCAAAATATAAAAACAAAAAACCCCACAAACTCACAAACTGCATGTGTGCTGTGGCTCATTCCACGGAGGATTCACAATGAACAGGCTTCTCTGAAGACATGTGTCCTGACTTGGAAAAGGTAGGGCTATTCTGAGGAACTCCAGGGCCCTCTGTCTAATAAGTGAAGGTCTTAGTTATGTCTTGGTCTGGAGAGACACAGGGCAGTTCTCTAAAAATTAAAATGGCATATTCACTCAAGGGTCACTCTAATTTAAAAAGGAAGCACAGGAATTTGATGAGAGCATTGTGTCCACCACACCTGGGTGTAATCCTGGACTACATGTCAGAGCACAGACACAGGAGAAATGGTTGTTTTTGAAAGTGGAGAAGAATAGCAGAAGGTTCTAGCTGACATTGACAAAGAGGGCTCAGACTGATCCATTGAATGCTCATAAGCACAGTGCTCCTGAGCTACTGGAAGTGTGGGTGGTATAATCTACACTGAAGGAGGACTGACCCTGCAGAAGCCAGCGTCCAGCACTGCTGTGGGGGTGGCGGCTGTGCCTGAGGCAGCCACTCAACCACTCCCCCTCTGAAAGACCATGACTAGGTAGGCCATCACTGGGCATTGTTTGGGATTAGACCATCCCTGACTGGCACCAAATAACTCTAAGTTCAGCCATCCTTATTGTGTCCTGATTTTGAAAGACAGTCAAATGAGGCATGGCCTGATCAATGCAATTTACTGATTACAGGGAAATAGTTATATACAGGAAAAGAAGAGACAACTACTACCCAGGAGAGGTTCGTAGGATACACAAGCAAGTGATAACTCCCATTCCCTGGGGCAGACACAACCTCACAGGATAACCTAACTCCAGCAACAGAGACTTGGGCCCCGTTGTCAGAATCTCTGAATTCAAAAGCACTAGCTGGCATCTCACTGAAGGTGTTACTCAATTAACTGAGAATGGCTGGACTGCAAGAGTGTCACATTCTGTCCAGCTGACAGAAGGCCTTGATGGAAGAAGGATGGCAAGTCCATGTCAGGCCGAAGGACTGAGTCATGTGATGCAGCAACTGTGCACATGGAAATACCAGGTGCTTATTTATTCCCTATACAATTATATAGGTTCTTGGGCAGTAGCCGATGAACTAACTGCCTGATCTGATAAGTAAATCAAAGGAGGCTCTGTTTAAATTCCCCCCTCATGGGACAGGACTTTATAGTCAAATCTCAGATATCGGTTGCTCATGCTGATGCCTCTTGGTCTTAAAAAGAGAAGGGAAGTTTCACTCTAGATGTAGTCACTAGAGTCCACGAGATGAGACCTTGGGCGACAAGCCAGCACACATGGGCTCACAAGCAACATAATCTCCATCTCCATCGAAGCCACTTGTGTTGCCTAGGATGGTCTTTTCAGGAACGGGTTCACGTGCCTTTGCGGGGAGAACACACTCAGGATACACAGCCCATCACAGAGCTGGAAAGTTGCCTTTTCTGGTCATTTCACAGTGAACGGGTGGGACATTGAAAGATTTTTAAAAACTTGTGTTGCCGATGTTTCAAATTTGAGCTTTGCCTTTTCTGCAACTAAATATCTGGCCCGGACCAGCATAAGTAGACTGGCAATCCAGATTGCCACCAACATGACTTACATGTCAATAGCTCAAGGATCATTTGTCACAGCACGAACAGGGCAAGAGTAGATGTGGACCAAGAAATACAATAAAAGGTGGTCTTTTCATATTTCATATCACTTCCCAAAAGCAGTAAAACTTTTGAAAATTGGAACATGTGCTTGAAGCAACAAAATGTTAAGGACAAAGGCACAAAGGGTTGGCTTTTTCGGGCAAGAGGGGCACAGGAGCATTATCTAAGGGAGAGGCTGAGAAATGAGAAAGTAGGACATGCTATTTTTTCCAGAACTAGGGAGTTGATTGTGCTCTCCAAGGCAGGAATAATACAAATCAACTTAATTTCACTTGTTGGAACTCTGAAGGTATTTATGGGCTAATTGGAAATTTTGGTATTTTCAAGATGCATCCAACCCAGTGGAAAGGACCCAATTACAATATACTTATTAAATAATTTAACAGTACCCCAGGGAAGGACACACAAGTGTTTAGCAGCTTTACCTGTGCTACCCACAATTTGAAGGCTAGTCGAGAAAAAACTCCTCTGATAGGAACAAGGGAAGGAGCTAAGGGAACCCAGTAGGGAAAAAGAAAGACGGCAGCAGAAAGAACTGGATCATCCAGACATATTACAACCAAATGATGCTACTTGTGCCCTTTACATTTAAAATGAGTTTGTAATAAAATTATTTCTTAGTAATATTTCTAGACTCATCTGCAGTCTGGGATCAGGGATGCTGGCACCAGCATTGATTCTGCCAAATTGGAACTTCACATCTTATGTTGTTGTGTTAGTAAAACTGGGCCCAGAGTATACTTGTCTGGATGGCTGCTCTGGATGGGCAATGCAGAGTAAGCACTGTGAAAGTAGCCAACTCCTAGCTGGGCACGGTGTCTCACACCTGTAATCCTAGCACTTTGGGAGGTGGAGGAGAGAGGACTGCCTGAGCCTAGGGGTTCAAGACCAGCCTGGCCAACTTGGCGAGACCTCGTCTCTACAATTAAATAAAAAAATTAGCCGGGCATGGTGGCACACACCTGTGGTTCCAGCTACCTGGAAGTCTAAGGCAGAAGGATCACCTGAACCCAGCAGACTGAGGATGAGGCGGCCGTGTGCACTCCAGCCTAGAGGACAAAGTGTGACTCCAACTCCAAAAAAACAAAGAAAGAAAGTAGCCAACTCCTAACATGGCACTGGAACATTAGGATATAAGGTGTTGCTTGAACTTTTTATGTTGGATTAAGATGAGTCATAGTCCAATTATGAGTTCACAGATCATTTATGTGATACTTAAAGAAATGAAAATGATGCTATCTGACCATCTACAGCAGGATATTGAACTGCAGTCACCAGCTAATGTGGTAAGCATGGGGGAAAATTGACCCAAGGAGGCCAAGCAGAACTACAAGTTGAGGCGGGGCATTATAGTTAACTCTAAGTCACTCAGTAGCATCAGAATCATGATATAAGTTTAGCCACAAGGATGACTAAAATGAAAAAGATAGAAAATGTTGGTGAGAATGTAAAATAACGTACATTGCTGGTGTGAGTACACACTGGAAGATCCACTTATGAAAAGTATTTGGTAGTTAGTGTTTACTAAAGATGGCCACATGCATACCCATGACCAATGATTCCACATATATTCAATGGAAGTATGTATACATGTTCACCCAAAGATAAGTACCCAAATATTTGTAACAGCACTGTTTACAACAGCAAATAACTGGAAACAACCTTTAAACACAAGTTTGGGTAACTCAGAACAGGTGAATAAATTGTTGTATGTTTATATAATGGAGCATTACTCAGCAAAGAGAATGAAAAATCTGCCACTACTCATAACAACATGGAAGAATCTTGCAAACGTAGTGTTGAACAAAAAAAAGTCAGGCACAATTAAGTGTGTCCTGTGTGGTTTCCTAAACAAAGTTCACGAGCAGGCAAAACGAATCTGTGGTGCCAGAAGTGGAAATGATAGCTGCCCTTGTGGGAGGGCTGACAGGAAGGAGGCACATGGACTTCTGGGATTGGTCATGTCCTGTTTCTTGTGCCAGGTAACGTGGGTCAGTTCAGCTTATGGAAATGTACTGTGTTCTTTTCTGTGTTTTTGTTAGACTTAAATTAAAAATTTACTTCAAAAGGTACCAATTCACACTTTGGAAGCAAGAGGGGAAATAAAACTAGAGCCATATCATCATACGCATAGCAGTGTGGCTGTACATTAAGATGTTCTGTCAATTCTGTTCCTTTTCACAGATGGGTAAGAAAAGGAATTTGCTACTCTTCCCTCTGTCTTCCATCTCCCTCCTTTGTATCCAAGGAGAGACAACTGTGCAGCAATGTGGCTATAAGGATGCTGGACGTGAATCAGGTTGAGTTGTAGGGTGGGTCCTGGCTGATCTATGGCTTGTCAGCTTGGCCCCCAGTGAAATTGAAGGAACCCAATCCCGCCCTTGGTTCATAACCCTGAGTTCAGAACGTCCTTGGTCCAGCTCCAGTGACCTTGGCAGAGCTGGTGCTGAAGGTGATAGATGAGGGTGCCATTCATGCCTGAGAAAACTACATTGTCATGGAGTCCCATCATCAAGTTGTGCTGTGCGGTGCTACCCTGAAGCACAGTATGGTCCCTGGTGTGGCTCCAGCCAGCCCCTGACAGGTGCTACAGGCTTAGGTGTTTCAGGTTGAGTTAGGAAGGAGATAGTTGGGCTCCCTAAAGGTCTCAAGAGATCTTCACTAATATAATTCCATCTGCAACCGCATCCCACCCATAAGCTGCCTCTCCACTCACTCCCTTCGGGTGAGGATGCTGGGTCTGGAAGCCATGGAATCTATTGTCCCTGAGGGTGTGGCAGGTCTCTCTGCCAAAAATCCTGAGTGTCCTACCTGCCAACTCAGAACACTTACAAATTTCAGAGCCTGCTTCAGACCACCAGTTCCTTGTCCCTGGTGAAACAGTTGAATTCAGCCGGGGTCAGGCTTCACGGTGGATAAGCACAGGGGCAAATAGGCAGGCTGGGCAGGCAACACTCACTAACAGAATGGTTTTGAGGTCTGGTGCTGTGTGTCGGTTTTCCCATTAATCTGACCCTACTGTGGACATTAGTCAACCGGGCTGTGTCTATGACAAGCTCATAGTAGAGTGACAGAAAACTCTGCTCAGTAACCATGATATGTTGCTACCACCATCGCTATCACATCATCGTCATCTTTAGGGAGCCCAAGCATCATCTCGAGATCTTTAGGGAGCCCCACTATCTCATCATCACAGCAGTGTGTCTCTCTCCTCTTTGTAGCTCCAGAATTTAGCATGATGCTTGCACCTGGCAAGTGTTCCAGTAATGATGTATGATAAACTAATGTAAAACAGAAATGGGACTGACTGGAAAAGGTGTGAGCTCTTTCTCTTTGAAATATGAGAGTGCTTTCACGAACACCTGTTCTCATTCTCCATCCTTCCACTCTAGCAGCTGAGTACCCCTCTGGCTCATCACCCAGTTTTATTTTCTTCATTGCACTTATAACTCTCTGAAATCTGCATTTCCCATTTACTCATTGAGGTATTTCTCTCTCTCCTCCCACCCTACCCACCACATATACACCAGAATATTAGATTTGTGAGGGTAGCTAGGATCCTTGTCTGTCTCGTTTACAGCAGTATCTTAAAGCCCAGGATCTGGCCCAGCAGGGAGTTGGATGATGAATGTTGAGCAAATGAATTCACTCAGGAGTTCCCATAGTGCACCTCTCTCCTCCTCCCACCCACCCTCCCTACTCCCATTACCTCTCGGATTCTCTTCTGCCATTCCTCGGTGAACAGGGGAGAGCTGATATTCACTTGACTTGCGTTGTGTGTCCACGTGGGGCATTTCCAGGCAGGAAGGGAGAGCATGGCCAGAGAGGGTGTCACAAAAGCAAATGACCCTCCCTGGAGAATGGGCAGCCTGAAAAGGGGAAAGGGATAAGTTATCCAAGAGATCCTCTAGAACAGGCTGTCACTGACCCAAAAAGTGGCCTTCAATCCCAAGTCCTAGCCTGGTTTAGAAGCAACACCTGACTCCTTCTGTTCTCGGTTGCAGACTAATCCTGTCAAGCTTCAAGTAAGACCTATGAATCCTCTTATACTTTGGACAGTCCAGAGAGAGAGGAGAAGACAACCATAGCCAGCCCAATCCTAGAGATGCAAATCCAGGAGGAGGGAGTCAGGCTGGGAAATGACTTGGAGATGCATGGAGCTCAGTGAAAATGTCCAGTAGGTGTCATTTTCCTACCTCAGCGCCAGAGACCCCTACCCAGACCCCAGATCCACAACTCAGCTCACAATCGCAGTTCCCCATCTCATGTTCTCCAACAACTAATTCTCCCACCGTCAAGAGCCTAAAATCTGGCTTGCCACATTCCTTTGTGTCTTTAGAGGTAAACAGCAACCCCAGACCGTCGAGCTCCTTATCACACGAAGGGAGCAGGTTTGATGTTCATTGTCAGAGTGTGTTCCCCAGTCCACCCTTCTCTCTCCTGGTGAGCTTCTTACTCTGGCATCCGTGAGAACTTCTCACAGTACCTACCCACCCCACCTTCCTGTCAGGGTAAACACAACATAGTAAATCAGCTCCAGCATTCTCTCACTAGAGGTCAGGTCTGAGGCTATCAAGGCTTGCCTAGTCTGCCTGCTTTGAACACTGGAATTTGGGAGGATGAGACAGAGGGACCTCAGCCTCTTGACTGCATCTCTGTGACCCACTTCGTTCAGGTTCCTTTTCTTAATACTAGAAGGGCATTTTTGAATCTATACTTCATAAAGAAAGGATAAAGGATCATTCATGAGAATGAATTAATAAGCTTTGGCCGGGCCCAGTGGCTCACACCTATAATCCCAGCACTTTCGGAGGCCAAGGTGAGAGGACTGCCTGAGCCCAGGGGTTTGAGACCAGCCTGGGCAACCTGATGAGACCTCATCTCTACAATAAATCAAGAAAATTTAGCCAGACGTGGTGGAGAACGCCTATAGTTCCAGCTACTTGGAAAGCTGAAGTCCAGCAGGTCCCGGGTGCAGTGGCCGTAAGCATGCCACTGCACTCCAGTATGGGCAACAGAATGAGACTCTGACTTAAAAAAAAAAAAAAGAAAGAAAGAAAGAAAGAAACATGTTTTATGTAGGAAATCTGTAATGAAAAATGATGAGAGTTTTGCTGATTGAATGGCCTCTGTGTCCTGTCTGGGCGTTAGAATGAACAATGTCCAGGTGGACTTGCCTGGGAGTGGGCCCAGGCAAGGACACTGCTCCTGGAATGAGTCCACTGTGTAGCCATGTGTGAGAACAGCTGGCCTCAACTCCTAAATCTAACCCCATTGGGCTCCAAGATAGAAAGGAATAAAGTACATTGCACACACAGGGTTGATGCATGATGGTGGCGCCATGTGCGTGTATACAAATGTGTAGTGTATGTGTGCAGTTTTTTCTAATTTTTAAAATAGTGAATCAGCCCAGTGCAGTGGCTCATGCCTGTAATCCCAGCATTGTGGGAGGCTGAGGCAAGAAGATTACCTGAGTCCAGGGGTTCGAGACCAGCCTGGGCAACTTGGCAAGACCTTGTCTCTACAATAAATCAAAAAACTAGCAGGGCATGATGGCACATGCCTGTAGTTCCAACTACTTGGAAGGCTGAGACAGAAGGATCACCTGAGCCCAGCAGGTTGAGGCTGCGGTGGCCATGAGTGTGCCACTGCACTCCAGCCTGGGCAACAGGGTGAGACTCTGACTCAAAAACAAAAACAACTAAGCATTTTGAAAGAAAAAGGAAACATGCTCTCCTTACATCATTGCAAAACTCCTTTTGAGCTTCTGAAGTGAACATATACACCTCTATAGAGTATAATAAGCAAGTACATGATGCAGGACTTGTGTTTTTCTTCTCTGCTGTGATCCCATGTACACGTCTCATTCATTCAACAAATGCTCATAAGGAGCTGCTAGGCTGTACCAGGAGTCATGCAAGGTGAATGAGACACAGCCCTGCTCGTATTCCAGCTCCCACTTAACCCTTGCACCCACAAGCCAGCCAGCTCCAACCATCTGTCCTCATGGTTCTTTAGATGCTTTATAACTGCGCTCGCAAACAATCCACCATGCTCTGTGGCCCCACTGTCTCAGCCACGTCATTATCACTGGGCTTCTTGAGGGTAAGAATGCATTATTTTTCATGTCCAGCCCTCCAACACCAAACCTCGTGCCACTAAAAGCTGCCAATGTTGGGTTGTATGATTTTGGTTTATTTCTAGCTTTATGGGAATGTAATGAAACCTTAACAAATGTTGATTTGCACTTTATTAAGTCATGAAAAATGTGCATTCATTCGTGTGATTTTTATGTCTGTTTTTCCTTTTCTATAAACTATCATTCATTATACAGAATTTGGATACTGCCAAAATACACACATAACAACTTTTTACTTAGAATAGTGAGTTTTTTGTTTTTTGGGGTTTTGTTGAGTTGAATATGTTGCCCAGGCTGGAGTGCAGTGGCACGCTCACGGCCACCACAGCTCAACCCGCTGGGCTCAGGAGATCCTTCCGCCTCAGCCTTCCAAGTAGCTAGAACTACAAGCACGCACCGCCATGCCCGGCTAATTTTTTATTTCCTGTAGAGATGAGGTCTTACCAAGTTGCCCAGGATGGTCTCAAACCTGTGACCTCAGGCAATCCTCTCACCTCAGCCTCCCAAAGTGCTGAGATTATATGCATGAGCCACCATGCCCAGTTTATTTTCATTTTTTGAAAATGTTTTCTGGTATTGTTTGCAGCAATTTATCTACAACCCAAAAATTATTTAAGGAAATATTTTAAACTTTTCAAGTAACTGATCAAATTTCTGACTTTAATGCTATTTTCTTTCAAGACTATTATATGCAGTTGGGATAAGTGACAAATAGACTTTCTGCCTTTTTTGTAATTGTTAAATTTCATTTATCTTCAAGAGTAAAACAGGTTTCTTTCCATTTATTTGCTTCAACGTCCTATCCTTAGGTTCACATATATATCAATAAATTCTCCCTTCCTTATTCTATACTCAGACTCTCCAATTCCATGGACTGTTCATTCCTCCCTCTTCACCCCGACTACTTCTTTCCCATAATTTATCTGCACTCTTTTGCTTCCTGACTAGTTATATTTTCAAGGTCTTTAACTAAAATTCTTGAGATATGCATAGATATATAGCTAGATCGTATTTCTCACATTCTGTGTTTCTCTTCTATGCACTGTTCTGTTCCATGTCTGGGATATATGCCCTCAGTTTCATTACTAGGCTTTCTTACTACTACGTACCACTTACCTTCTGTGGTAACCTTAATCATCTCAGAGCTCTTTTTTTATCTCATAATTAATTCACTGCTACCACAATGGCAACCATGTTTTTAAAAAGTGCCCATAAATGTGATTCACTATTATTCTGTCTTCTCACTAAAATGTCTCTTGAAACCCGCAGGCTGTTGATTAGAGAAACTCAACAGTCCTGGGGGCCCAGAAGAGCCCTATGAGGCCTCCTCTAGCCTGGCCTTGTCATTCTATAGGTAGGGATGCAGGCCCAGCATCTTCGTTTCCCACAGTCCCGTGACACTGACATGGAGCGTGATGTAGACCAAAGGCAAGTTTAAACCTGCCTCTGCCTCTGATCACTGTGTGACTAGGCTATGTTGCCCAGCTTCTGCAAGTCTTTATGTCCTCTTCAGTAAAATAAAGACAATAGTGCTACCTCCAAAAAGTCACTGTGAAGATTAAACGTATATAAATGCTTGGCCCAATGTCTAGGGCATATAAAGCAGTAATTTTTTTTTCTTGGCCCTGGGGCAAAGGTGGCTTTCATTTCCTCTTGGGGAAGGAAGGGGAGGGGAGCTTACCTAGGCACATAAACCTAAGGAAGGGTGACTGCGCCCCCAGGGGAAGAGGCTAGAAAAGCAGATCATCATTCAGAAGGGCTCATCCTTATCCACTTCTGGGCCCTCAGCTGCAGGGTGTGCTTGCGGGAGTCACTCTCTTTGGGGCAGTAGCCCCTGTGTCCACTCTGCTGGAGTTCACAAAGAGGAAGGGAGGGCAGGTGCCCTGAATGAGGGAGCAGGGGGCTGGGCTGGCCAACTCCACACCTGACGCCTGCCCAGTATGACAGCTTTCATAAGGCTTGTCTGGTGTGACTCTTCCCCCTAGAAGGGCCTGAAGGGCTCACAGGCAACACTTGATCCAACCGCTGGTCCTTTAAATGTCCATCTCAAACTGTGACTCTTCACTGTCCGCCTGCTTGTCTTCTGGGCTATTGAGCAGGTGGTTCTGGTTGGCTTCCATGGGGGGCTCATCACCAGCAGGCTTGGTGACTCCAGGAATGGTGGATAGATCTCTTGTGGGGTTTGGTCACAAGTGAGTTCTGACACTCCATCAGGAATTTCTGGTTGTAGATGATCCTAGTACCTCCTGGAGAGTGTGCCGCGAGGTGGGGAGGTCGTGCTGTAGTCCCCAGGTGGCAGCTGTACGCTGACACCAAGCACCACTCAGCAGGTGTGGGGGATGGCCCAGCTTGGAGTCTGGTTGCAGCTGCTGCCCCCGGACATGGTCTCCTGAGTGCCGCACCCACCACCCCCTCACAGCCTCCCACGCCAGCAGCCTCCAAAGCAGTGCTTTTATTATTTTATTATTCCCTGGGAAGGTAGTTCACACCAGGACATTTTCTTCAATGGTCCCACTAAATAACTAAAATTACAAATGAACCGTTTTTGACTGGTGTTTGGATTTCCCACCTCCTGCAGGCCTCTTTTTTCTATGTCTCTGGTTTTCTTTTGTTGGAGCCCACGTGCTCAGGCTGGTCTGAGACTAGGTCCTGGCATCAGCATCCCCAGGTCTGTGGTATCCACTCAGTCACTCAGCATGTCACCACTATAGCTTTTCTCCTCTTTTGCCA